TTCCAATTTGCTATTTTAGCGATGGTCATGATTTTCAAATGTCTTATGATTTAGATGCGAAATTTTAGAGCAACAGTCAAGATACTCTTGTTGATGCTAGGTTCTAAATCTTATTTACTATAAGGCTGGTATTGAAAAAAGGTCTATCCCCACTCCTTTGTATTCTCATGCTTTGAGCAAGATGATCTAATTAAGTTTTTGTTTTGTAGCTTTCGTGATCCATTAGTAGTTGCATGCTTGTTTTCATTTTATTTTTATATTTCTCTTTTTTATTTGGCAGTTTTGTTTTTTAATTGCTTTTGTTGTACTCCTATTATTATTTTTTCTCATAATAATATTCTAAGAAAAAAATAAAATTATATGGTGGTAGCTTAAACCTAAGTTGGGTTTGCCATTAGCCAGCAGTTTTTTTTCCTTTCATGCATTTATTCCAATAAATACAACCTTTTTTAACAATCATTACAAAATATACTAAGCCAACTAAGCGTCTTTATTCTGAATGCCAATGATTATGTAGTTGTATCTCCAAGGTTATCTCTTAGAAAGCTAAGCAAATTGTATTTTCTTATGTTGATACCTAGCAATTTTCTTGCACCTTATTATTTATCTTGACTGTATTTTGCTCCGAGACATATCCTTTTTGCATTTTATTTAGTGAAGGACTCATAAGCTCACTTTTTGCTTTCCAATATTTGTTTAACTTGAATGTTTTATTCTTCAAATATCTTTCATCTGAGATATAAACAGGAAGGGTACTGTTTAAGAAGACAATTTATGTGGGAATCAATGGATTAGATTTGGCAGTGTACTTTCATAGAATTTTAATCACTCATTTTTTTAGAAACTGATGGATTGATGGGTGTTCTTTCTCATATTTTATTATTATTATTATTATATTTTTTTAATTTTTTTGCTATCATATTTTATTATTATTATTATATTTTTTTAATTTTTTTGCAGATCTTCTTACCCCTTGTTTACAACCTATTTGTTTATCAAAGGATACTCGTCCATGTGCTCGTTCAATTTCTTGGTCTCCTCCAGGACTTGCACCTAATTCGGGGTTAGAAATTGCTTTGCTCCTTAGATATACCTCCTACTTTGGTAGTAGTTTTCTCTCCTATTTGTAACAAGCCACTTCTTAATGTTAATGCATAGCTGAGTTGAGATTATGCTGTAGGAACATGTTAATATATTTTTTTTAATTTTATTAACACAGATGTTTGCTTGCTGTCTGTACGTTTGATGGCCATGTAAAACTTTATCGAGCACCATATTGTGAGTACAGTTCGGAATGGATTGAGGTATGCTGGTAAACATAGCTTTTTTGCAGAGTTTAATTTTTTTTTATGCTTTTTCTCATTAAGCCAACCATATCCAGAAAAAGAATGAATATATCATTTGGTTTTCATCTTCTTGATAGCAATCATTATAAGCTTTTCTTTATGCTGTCCTGTCAATGTGATTGAAGGCTATTAAATAATATGGACATAATGCTATGGAGGGTATTCTCCGTCCTTGTTGGGATAGTTATGCATTGTGATCAATATTAATTTCTCTGACGCCGTGGTCTTAATTTTTGTTTATGAAAAACTTAGTGACCTTTCTCTAAAGTTTTTTGTTTTAGTGATGATGGTGGAGTGGTAGCTAGTAAAAATGGCGGCAAGAGCTTTGGGAATATGAAGGATTTAGCAATTGGTTGGAATCTGTGGGAAATCTTGAGGAGGTTGGTTGATGTTGGATGGAAGTTTATTCTGACTAATTCATACAAAATTTTGAAACTCCTAAACTGGGCATCACACCAACTCAAAGAATGTATTCTATTTTGGCCGAATTTTACAGAGGGAGTAGATTAGATTGCATTAGTGAGAAATTAGGTTTACTAACAAGATATTTTTTAAGAAATAGCTTGCATAAACTATCATTTACTAGCATTTAAACCTGTTTCTTGATAACAAATAAGTCTTAAAAGAGTAAGTGACATAAATATCATAAACAACTAAAGGAAAAAGTAGATATCATTAACATGCAACATTTTTTAAGATCTGAGATATTTGAGATTGAACTGTGTCCTCCATAGGGCTGTAAATGAACCAACACACTCGATGAACTACTCAAACTTAATTGGATTAATACTCAACCAAGTTTTTTTTAATTAATAAATAACTATTTTAAACATTTTTTAAAAGCTCGGTTAAATGAACCAAACAAACACAATCTAAATCGTTTATTTATGTTAATGAACAAACTTGCTCTATAGTAAGTTCGATGGTAGATTATATCATATATATTATTTAAGAGAAAATTACAAACACACCACTCAATTCATATGTATTTAAATAATTAATGCTTAAATTTATATATTTACATTTATAGCGTTTTGATGTTATAAATTTATGCTTGGAAATTTGTATTTCACGTTTTAAAAGTAAGTAAAAGTGTTATTTCTGATGTGATATTAAAAATTTCAATGCTCTGCATAAAATATAGAAATCTAGGTGTTAGATTTGTAAATATATAAGAATTGTGTGGTATGTATTTAGATGCCCCATTATCTAAATAAAATTTAATTGACTATATCTTATTTAATTATATATTTAATATTATATATAATAATTTAATATCAACATTTATTATAGTTTAATATAACTTCTTGTTATTTTCTATTTCATTGAAATAGTTTGTAAGTACTTATTTATATTATTTGATTGTAAGTAAGCTTATTTGCACCTTATTATTATCTTATTTAATTGGTGTAAGCTAATTGGATACTGATTCAAGATTTCTTTAGTTATTTATTTAGATTTATGAAATCATTGGTTAATAACCTTATATGAAATGCCAAACTCTCATTCAAAATTTAGCTTGTTTATTATTCCATTGAAATATTTATTCAATTAAAATAATTAAAACAATTACAAGCCAAGTACAATTTAAAAAAAAAATTAAATCAAGCCAAGTATAAACATATATGTGAAAATATGGCTCGAACTCGAGCCATACACAGAAAAAATATATTTGTTGATATTGTTGTTGGTACTGCTATTGTTGTTGTCAATGATGATCTGTTTTTTGATCTTGTAGGTTGCAGACATGTCTGACCTTTTATTTGATCATATCACTACTATCAACTACGGCAAGTGGAATGACCAAAGTTTGGCGGTTCATGGAGTGAGTTGTTAATTTTTGTTTTTCTGTTAGTGATTTTTCTGTCATTGTTTTGGGCTTGGCAAAATTTTTTGTTAAAGATCTGTTAAGTGTTTTTAAAAGGTGAAAGCCAGCAGCAGAAAGCGTAGTAGATCAAAAAATGGGTTTGCAGTTTCTACTTGCAACAAGTCTTACAGAAGCATAAAGAGAAAGGGGCCAAGTTGCAGGTAAATGTTCTGAGCTAATGCTCTATTGGCTGCTTCACTTTTATTTTATTTTTAAAATTAGACATAATTGATGTTTGTGCAGTTTTGTAATGTGAAAGGTTCCATGTTAACTATAAGAGCAATATTCATTCCTTTTCATCTGGTTAGATGATAAGATGACTTGGGCAATTTTACATTGCAAAAAATAAAAAAGTACACTTTTTTATTTATAATTTGAAATGATGTTTTGCTCGATGTATGATTTATCATCAAGTTGTGCTTCTGTAATATAGATAAAAGGAAGAGAAGCTATAATTATGTGAATAATGAAAGAGGGAAGATCTGCATCATCATCATCATCCATACAGTCAAATAAGCGTTTTGCCATGAAAAGAAGCGGAACTGCACTTTTTTGAAATTGCAAAAAGGGGAATACCTGACAGAAAGCTGTGAACAAGACTTGTTTTGTTGCTTTGATTTTTAAAATACTTCACACTTTGAATACAAAATTGGAGTTGGTAGCATGAACTTAAAGCAAATTTTGAGTCGGTAGCGTGCACTTAGTCATGCATTTTCATTAAGTGTCATCTAATTTAAATTGAGTTCAATGAAAAGCAGAAATATAGTGAGTCTTAAGCCGCGGAGCGATATTGACATGTGCAAAGTACTCAAAATATTATCTAAAATTTTTTGTGAATGTTTTACAATTTTATCCTGATTGCAATTTACATGACCATTCAATTATGATATCTACAAGTCATGAATAGTTTTTATATTTCTAAGGGAAAGTGCGTGATTTTACTCATTGGATTTAAAACTAAACTGAACGGACTTGTTTCCATGTCTAGGAATATTCTTAAGTTGTTGGGGATAACCTATTTTGGTAGTCTGCACCCTTTTAATATTACATTTTCATTTTTACATTGAGACTCTTACTTTTAATTATTTTCATTTGCTTTTAATTTGTTGTCCGTATTATACTTTATCATCTGCAGCATTGAGAATATTCATTTTGTTTCTGTAGGAGAAGCAGCCCTACAGAAGTCGATCCAGATATCATCAGCCTGGGCATATGTTATGGCGGTGATGGGATCACTTTGGAGGTAAAGTTAATTGACATGATTCATGGCACTGGCTTGAAAATGGCTAGCATTTTATGCTTTGTTTTCAAGCAGCTGTTTATCTAGAGGACCAGAGGTGTTCAACTTCTATCTTCTCACACCTTGTTTCTTGATAAATATTGTGTTTTGTTGACCCTTTGTGGATGTATTCTGTCTGCACCAGTAATTGGAAACATTCATTGCTGTTTTTTTGATTAATTTTCAGGATAATGAAGCTAATGCTGAGACTGATGATGAAAGTACTCTAGATCAGAGTTCTAACTTGCCCCATATCACTGCCCAGCAGTATGTTTCTCGTAGTGCTGTATTGTCTTCCCTGGTTGTTTCCTGGTCACCAGTACTGCAATCTTCTGAAACCTGCTGTGCTATACTTTCTGCTGGTGCAAAATCTGGTGATGTTTCTTTTTGGAGGATTTGTGAGCCAGAATGCTTTACTATAAAGCATGGGAACATTCCTGTGAATGCGATGCTCATTGGACTTATTCAGGCTCATAATTCATGGATTACTGCAATTTGTTTTGGCATTTCCACTGCTTGTTCTTTAAAGTCTCAATTGTTCATGGTCACCGGATGTTCTGATGGAAGGAAAGGCTACTGCTAAACTTTGATGATTTTTTGTATGTGATTTTTTCATCTCTCGCTGATATGTTATTTTGCACATTTGGTTTGTGATTTGCTCATGGTTTAGGGGCTGGCTGTTTAGTGATATTCAAAACATATAGCTACTAGGTGCAATATCGTTTTGATTAGTGCTATATTCCAAATGTTGAATATTTGATTCAAATGTTTATAAGGAATGCGACGCACCCTACATTTTGGGCTACTCGGTTTGATGTCTGTTTGCTTGCTGCATTAGTTTGGTGAGATTACCTCTCATATATGCTTTTTATCGTGAAACAAGGAATGAATTCCTTTTCGCTTTATCAATTTTTTTTATAATTTTTTATTTACAACACTAGAATTTCTTTAGTGGATATTGAAGAGAAAAAAAAATTGTTTGCCAATATTATATCCATGTTATTGAAAATGTGTGATGGAAGAAGGATTAGAACTTAAAACTTTTAAAGAATTTTTAATCAATTGTTGCCAATATCTTTACGATTGAGATTCAATCCACACCTCTTTATGAAACATCGTGGTAACATCCAATTCTACTATGACTCTAGTGTCAGAGGGCCTAATAAAATGCACCGTTAGATGGAACAATGATTAGTACTTTAAACTTTTTAAATTGTTTTTAACTAGCATGAAGGAATATTTTCAAATTCGATTTTCTGCCAATATCCCTATAATTAAGATTCAATCACACCTCTTTTATGAAACATGGATGTAACATCCAATTCCACAAGGACTCTAGCCTCATGTTGTTACAACATCCACTTATAATGACTTTCCAAAAGTAAATGTTAAAGAAATTAAGATAGATTGATTTAAATAATGCATATGAAATCTTGAAAATGGGATCCCAATAGTAGTGATTAGAGGGTCCATCGAGTAATCAAAATGAGGGGATCATTTTAAAATATACATCGGAAAACCACTAATATAGCAAGACTGTCAATAGCAGTCTAATGTAATCTGCTTTTAAGAAAAAAAATTATGATGATATGCCATGGATCAATAAGTTCTTCAGAATAATCACCAATCAATTATAAATCAGCCAATAATTTGTGAACTACCTTAGTGCTAGGCTTACCCATAGAAAATTTGCTAATAAGATAAATGGCATGAGGCTTAGCAAACATAAATATTTCTTCATCATAAAAGATAAGCACAAGCTTCCTTTAGAAAGAAAAAAGAATGTTGTTGTTGGTGGTTTGTTGAAATTTGATGAAGAAAAATGGAGGATTGTTTTGTGGTGTGGGAAGGTTATTTGTTGCATTTGAACACAAATCACATTTGCAGAGGAGATTGGAGGTTGAGAAGAAGGCGGCTCAACCACAAAAGAAGATAAAAGGTGAGAAGCTTTTGAGATATTATGGGCTCCAACGATGGTGATGGCGATCTCACAGTGAGGTCAACAAAGGCCCTTTGAGAATTCAAAGAAGACAAATGTGTGATACCAAGAGGCTTCAAGGGAATAGAGGGAATAGAGAATGCAGAAGGATAATAGAGGGTAATGAATGTGATCGAGCATGACTATGAATATGAGAATGTGCAAATGTCTATTTGAGGCGAAAGATAAGAAATAGTGATGGTCCTATCTTAGGAATTAGACAACTCATCAACTCTATGGGATGACGTCAGCGCCAACGTCAAGAATAGCCCATACGAAGGCTTACCAAAAGGCCATAAAATGCCTCTTGTGAACACATATGAAGACAATTGAGCTTGTGTAGAATTAGACTTACGAATTGCGACGATGGACATGCTTAAAAACTATGCGCTGATAATCATGTGGAGACAATTGTATGCATGATATGAACATGTCAGTCACACAAGAGATGAAGATGAACATGTTAGAGATGTGCGGAAACGATTGTGCTGACGTTCGCGTCTAGGATTTGTAGACATTTTTTAGTTGTGTTGGTGTTTGTAAGAGATATTTAAAATTAGCTACTTTATTGTGTGTGATTTGTCATTGTTATAGTATTGATAGGTGAGATATCTTTTAATGAAATTGGGAAAATAAAAAAATTTCCTTGAGCTAAGGTGTTTAGAATTAATAGAACAAAATCTAACTATGTGATATTGTCCTAGTAGACACATAATTGATAATTTTCAGCCGATATTCTTTAAATGGTCCTGGGATGCTTAGAGGTGATTATTTTAAGGAACAACAATCCATCATTGAAAATTTGGAGAGTAAAAATTAATTAAATGGGAGAAGTTTGTAAGAAAGCATTGCTTCAGTAAGAGAAGATTATGTAGTAAAAATTAAAGTTTCGGTTAGATTAATTGCACTTTGTGGATTTTAAGATTTAAGGAATAAAGCTGTTGTTGATAACAACTTTTGAAAGGGATAAAAGAGAAGCAAGAAAGTTGAAGGATTACAATGTGAAAAAGGTCACTCATGTGCAAGTGGTGAGGCAAGGGGATAATGGATGATGTTGGAGGCCATATGATCCAAGATCCTCAAGATTTAAAGAAATAAATAGATAGAATGTAATCGCTAAATCAAGTCTCTTGTAAATTAATGGAGATAAGCTCTCATGAAAATATTCAAGCTTTCCACTTGGTCAAGGAGCAAATTACTGAAAGAACAATAAATAACACATACAACTAGAATTCTATTAAGGAATTCTTAATCTTTCTTTCTAAATGTTCCAGCCCTTTTTTTATAACTACAAAGCTTCCTTGGTATAATTTATTCATGCAAATAGCCTATAAAAGTGTTACTCATCTGAAACTAGAAATAAAAAGGTATAGCAATCTTGTTGAGCACACTAGATGCACTTACCATTGAAGACCAAAAATCTTTCTAGCTGCTAGGATTGTGATACTAAAGGTATTAGCTTGCTGGAGTAGGATAAATGTATGACTAATTTAGCATTCCACAGCCAAGGAAACATTTATTGTAGCATATATGAAACCAAGAACCTAGGGGAAGTCTATTGAACCATGCTACCAGCCTGCTCTCATAGTTTGGTAACATTATATGAATTTATTTTCTAAAATTAATGTTCTAATTAAAAATACTAAAACTTCTAAAACTAAAATACTTCATCTACTACTAAAATTAAATAATTAGGCTCTTTTTTAGTTCATCTGAACGCATTGATTCAATTTGCAATATTGGTTCTTGTACTTTTAGCTTTGCATTTTGGTGGCGATTGGGGTTACAGTTGTAAAATGGGAAGTGAGTAGTTGATTCTGATTGTGTTTATAGACTATTCAATCTTAGTGGACACAATTTGGCCACTATCTATTAATGTCTCCTTGGATTCTAATGTATTGGAATTGACAACATATTAAGGATTGTTGTGAACCAAACAATAATTTAATACTAGTAAGGAAACAACTATAGAAATAGTGAACCAAATGAAATTATGTTTTACAGCTTTATATATGGCTGAACTTTATTGGGATATGATTGTATATAGCTGTCTATATTGCATGCTTTAAATCACTATACTAACTACTAGTTTGAGTTTTGATTTTACACAATAGGGTTGTATCTGTCTTTTTGCTGCATTATTCCTAGCATTTTCATCTGGATTCTTAAAGTTCTATTTGTTGCCTAGAGTTTTGCACTCTAAATGAACAACCCCTATCCAAAAATAGAGAAACTAAAATATCCGTGTGAATGGTCATAAAGGATGTTTATTTTTGCACTTTCTAGATATTTCCTTGCCCTTCAATATATCAATTGTGTAGAGCATCGGACAGACATGTTTCTATGGCTCTACTTTGTTTTTCTTTCTTTGTTCTTCTTGGTTTTGTTGTTCTCTAAGGACCTAATATGCAAGAAAACGGTTGGTTGTCTTGAGTTGTTTTCTTTAATTAAAATCTTTGGTTATTTGTAATTTTTTGATCTGTTTTGAATTTTAAAAAAAATCGGATATTCTAATTTTGGTTATTATGGAAAACGTACGACAAAAAAATGAATTTTGGTGGAACCTTTGCTTGATATGACTATCGGCAAAGCATTTAGCCGAGTTAATTGTTCATCTCAATTAGAAAATCAATGACTATTTTGTACCAAATAATACTAACTACTTATGGTGTTTCTTGAAGCTCTTTTTGGTAGAGGTTATCATCTGTGATAGTTATTAATGATGTAAGAATTTGTTCCTTATTGGCTTGAATCATTTTTTTCTAAACTCTCCCTAGTTGTTAGGGTGCTTGGTGGGTGCTCAAATGTAGCTATGGTAATTTTAACTTTTTTTTTCCCCTACAAATGTGCAGCACTTTTAAGTGCATCTTGTCATAATACCTTATCACCATTTTTTAGTATATGGATGGTTGAACTACTTGAGCACATACTTATTCTAAGGCTTAAGTGAGGGTCCGGGAGTTATCCTGTCTATCTCGATCTTTTGTTAGGTATCACACCAATTTTGGTGAATACTTTATTTAAATTTCTTTCATATAGGTGACACTGTTCTTGGGTTCATAGAAGGTGTTAAGTGGGCTGTTTTTGTGGGGGGGATAGTAGAGGAATGGCACAAGAAGTAGGATACAGGTGGTCGGTGGCATTTGTAAATAACATATATGTGGCATTTGCCATCAGAGCATATTCGACATGTTTGATAACTTTCCATGTTGAAAATAGCAGTAGAATGGCGAAACAACGAAGTATGGGGAGGGAGGAGGATCAACCATATTGTTCCTAAGTAAGATAAAGATACACAACTTGCAAAAATAATATGATACAATATTACAAAAATCATAAAACAAAGAACAAAGTCTCGAAACACAATAGCGATAGCAAAAGTTGTCCAAATAGCAAAAACACATACATAAATAGTCGCCGAATAGGAAATTTCTTAATTGTAAGTAAGGAAATAAGAAAGAAATAAAAAAAGGAAGAAAAATTGGGCTAAAATAGGCAAATAGGATGGAACCCTAGAAGTAGTCGTCTTCCCGCAATCACGGGTGCATATTTGTAGGATCTCGTGGAATGTGAAATGCAACACAACTCT